GAGAGAGAGAGAGGTATGTGCGAAAGAAGAAGAAGAAAAAGGGGGTAGAAAGAAGAGGAGAAGCAGGAAGAAGGGAGAAGGAAGAGCTTGATACAGATTATTAAGAGGTTTGGTACTGAAAGAAAGAAAGAAAAAATGAAGAAGAAAGGAGGAGCAGGAGAAGGGAAAAGAGCATGAGGAATGGAACAAAACATTATTTTTTATCAACAACAATAAAAAAAAAATTACATTCATTCCATGCTTGCATACATCGTCCCCTTGACACACTACTACTACCGGTATACTGTACTGTCCTGAAGTTCATACATATTCCCTCCGCCTCCCAGTCTCCCTATCATGACCTCCCCTCCCTCACCACATCGAATACCAAAAGCACGATAATTAACCACTTCTCGTCTCGTACCAAACCAATCCCAGTCATTCCAGCAAAGCGAAAATCGTATACTTCTTACGCGGCTGTGATCTAGACCGCCCGCCCTCAGAACGCCTCTTTTGAACGCCAGCCAGACAGACCCCTGTGGCACCTGTGTACTTTTTCGCCCTGACTTCCCATCGTCGATAGAAAAACAAACAGCCTTTACATTAGTAGTCCGCAACTCGCAAGTCAGGTATCCTTCCGTCCGCAGAATACAAAGAAAACATCATACCAGTGGTAATAGACATGGCTACACAGCCAATATTAAACTCCTCCCCCTCACACCATTCAAGAATTCAAAGAAGCTCACTCTGAAAAAGCTGGTATCATCTGACAATCACCATCCGAGCCCCCCCCCCCCCCTACGACTCTCTACTTTCAGCACCCTCCTCCGTAATCGCCGAGCGATTTGTGCTCGTCGCCACTGGACCTCCCGCATTACTCCCCAAACTAGTCTTCTTCTTCTTCTTCTTGCCAACCGCAGCTAACTTTGCGCTCTTCGCCTCTTTATCTTGATCGGCAGCTTGCTGGGAGAAATCCTTCCACTTGCGCCACCCGTCGAAGTCGATTAATGCTTGCATGCAGCCCCATTCCATGACTTTGCGCTCAAGCCAGACGAAGTTGACTGGCTATGAAGTGGGTCAGTACGAGTTGGTCGGTCCCCTTTGTGCGGAAGGGAAGAGTTTTGGTATGGAACAATACCTTTGTCAAGAAATCATTACATCCCGCGGTCAATGCCTCGTGACGATCACTCTGCAGCGAACTTGCCGTAAGCGCCACAATAATGACCGGGCTCTTAAACAATACCGTACTGGGCAGCTTATCATCGCCCTCGGGCTCATCAGCCCCAGTCTCAGGTGCAGAAGAACTCGCGCTGCTGCTGAATACTCCTATCGAATTCAACCTTTCCAATCGTCTGATCTCCTTGGTAGCTTCCAGTCCACTCATGATCGGCAGTTGGATATCCATCAACACCAGATGGAATCCTCCTGCTCGCCATTTCAGCACGGCATCTCGCCCGTTCATGGCTGTTTGCCATCGCACTTTGAGGCGCTTCATGAACGCCTCCAAAAGCTTGAGATTGATAATGTTGTCTTCAACAATCAGGACGTTGATTGGAGGCACTCTTGTGTCGAGCAAGCCCGTAGGCAGTATAGGGTGCTCCACCTTTGTCCGCTTTGCCTTCTTGAGTCTGTTGCTCGGTGGAAGCGGTGATGAGACGCGAGGGGGGGGTGTAGCAACGCGTTGAATCTGGGAAACGAGATCATTGGGCTGTGTTGGCGGGGGAGGGGTGGGAATGGGAGGGGCAACGGGGGCTGCACTTGATTTTTCGGAGGCGCTGGAGTGAGCGCGCGAACGTGTTGTTCGAGTGTTCAAAAACTGCGTACCGTTGTTCACCCCAGGTTGCTGCCCCGAGGCGCTTGGGGAGGTCGTCTGCCGGCCTATCTGAGGTCGGGGTCGGTGGTGCCTCCGTTGAGCAGTACCAGGAGAAGGCAGTGCCGGAACTGTGCCAGTGTTGATGACTGACATGGAGTTTGTCGCAAGCGTAGTGTGGTGTCCGTTTCCTTGGAGATGCGGCGAAGGCACCGCTGCAACTGGCATAGGAGGGAAATAATCCGAGCCCGCCTCGGTAGGTCGAATCTCATCGTAGTATAGCCTCTGTGGTTGCGGACTTGGTCTCGGCGTCCTCTTTACTGGGACATCGATAATAAGAGCCTCGTCTACCGTCTGGCCTCCGGGAAAGTAGGCATCAAGCGTCCTGGCCATCGGCTCTTCCGGGCCCAGAGTCCTCTCCTGGCGTTGGTCCCTCGTTACAATCCTCAACGTGACATCGGGCGCATCGAAGTTCTTCCCCAGCGAGTTGGCATATTTCTTCAGGATCATATCGCGCACATCGTCGACCAAGTCATCCTCGTGGATGGTCACCAGTGTGGCTGACGCGGCAGGGCGCTTGACCCAGATCTTCCTGCTTGCCATATTTGCACTGGCACTGGCACTGGCACTAACTATCGCACGCGGGCCCGTAGTCGTGAAGTAGAACTGGCTTCGTTTATTATCGCCGGGGCTGCGATTCCCATCGTCCTCGGCCTCGTCTTCGTCCTCGTCCTCTTCCAGCACAGGATGGATGTCGGTGTTAGGGGTAGGAAAGTCGGCGGTCGAGGAGCTGTCGTGCTTGCGGTCGGTGTCACGGTCGCGGTCACCAAGATGGAGCAGCTCGCGATGGTCGTGGGTGTGGGTGTGGTTGTAGTTGTTGTTATAAGAATTCGAGGTTGAGGTGGACTTTGGCGCGGCGTAGGCGCTACTGCTGGCCAGGGCGACAGACACGATCCTTGCTCTAGCTGCAAGCTCAAGCTCAAGCTCAAGCTCTGGCTCAGGCCGAATCGCGTCCGGTCTATTCACCACCGCGAGTGCATCTCCAACTCCCTCCTCTTTGTACTTGTGCCTCTCCTTCTGCCTCTCCTTCTGCCTCTCCTTCTGCTCCCTGTCCACCACCACCCCTTCCTCCTCGTCGACCCGCGATCCGAGACTCGTAACCGACGGCGTCTTCCGCGCCGCGCGCGACCGGATGGACCGAGTCAGCGTCGCGATAGTGGAAGAGGCCGGCGGAGCAGGGACTTCCGCGCTGGACTGCGAAATACTCGACGCCGTGGAATGCCGGCGGGTGAATCTGGCCCTCAACCTCGTCTTGAGATCCCCTATGGCCATTAAAACCGTTAGGAGCAGCAGTGGCAGCAGCAGGCACGAACGCGAAGAGAGGGGAGCAGAAGGGAGGGAAGTACAAAGTAGAAAGAAGTAGAGAAGAAAAAGCCGAAGGGAAGGGAGACAGGAAGAGGCGATGGTGAATTTGCTACTCTTTTCTTCGTGTACGTTGTGTCAGTCAGTCAGTCAGTCAGTCAGTCAGTCAGTTAGTCGGTCCAGATCCCAGGCCCTTCCCTCAAGTCAAAATATATTCCTTGCAAAAGCTTCCCGCTCCATGTTCAACAGATAAACAAACCGCCAAAAAACCAAATAACATGTAGATGAACTAACTGCCTCTCTTGTTAGACATCGGCTCCAAGTATCAACAATCGATGTTAAGCTATGATCTGACTAGGTAGGGTTATATGATATCTCCGTCACAATATCCATCGATCCGTCTACCCAGCTCTTCACAATCCCAACCAACATTCCTCCTTCACATCAACCAACCAACTGGCAGCTCAGGCAAGAAAAGAGAACAACATACGAAGCATGCAAGAACTAACCCCAGATGTATTTCCCAGTCGAGTACTTTCCGTAAACTCCCCATCCGTCCTCCCCCAGCTCGCATCCTGGGCCCAGGAGGTACCTAGGTACCCTCGAGCCAAGCGAGATCTACCGGTACTCCTACACAGTACGGAAAGCAAGCTTTCCCACGGCCGAGGATAACCTTTGGATGCGACTTTCTTGACTCGTCCCAGCGAGACAGACACAGACACAAATACGAAACACAAAAATGACAATGCGCAGACGATGTACCGGTATGTACCCACGGTACAGGCCTAAGTATTACCCCCTTGAGGGGTGCTTCAAAAGTTTAGTTTCCACTTTAAACCCCTGGTTACCCTACACTTACGCCTGGGACGTACTACTAGGTAGTAGGTATGCTGGGTCATGATAGGCGTTCTGAGATACTTCCACATGGATTGCTTACCGTGCAGTAGGTAGATAGATGTGGCTGGCTGGCTTACTGTACCGGCAGATGGAAGAGCTGCTGCATTGTTACTGTCGGCGGCACGGCAGATACCTAGAGAGATTCTGTTTCGGGTAAAGTAGTGGGAGAAAGGTGTGAGGCCAACTCCCTCTATTATATATCAGTTCTACGGATGGGCGATTTCATCAATCATTTCCCAGAACCAGCAGATAGACCGATGAGTTGTCGGTCCGAGGGCTGTCTTCCAAGCCACCCACAGAGTCCAGTGGATCACGTAGCAAAGTAAGTGCCGATTCACAAATAACATGAAGATAGGTAGCAGAGCGTGGGTTGAGAGAGCATAGTTATAGCGGTATCCAGTTTGGTACCCTTCCCAGCTGGCTAGCAGTCTATTGCAAGTCTATAATTACCTGGGTGCTTATGCACCAAGCCACCCCTTCTCTCGTCCTGCCACTGCGGTGCATCACTCTCCTCTCAACTTCGTATACCATCACCATTTTTCAAGAGCTGCGCATTTTTTTGGCCCTCGCCCAAAGGAAAACTTCCCCAACGCCACCCCATTTATTGATCATATAAGCGAGCAATGCTTTTCCTTCCGCCCCAAACGCCAACCAAAACGAGAAATGCCATGCCACAGAATCAATCCAGTCCCAAGTTTCTACTCAATGCATGTCGGTACTTCCGGGCAATCGCACGAATCTGTGTCCGATGTGGTTGGTAGGGGGAAGGTGGTTATGTTGAACGACTTTCGCAATACTCTTCATGCCAACCCGGGCTCGAGATGCGTCGATACTAGTACATGGATCGTCGTAGCTGTCAACTTGGCAGCACTCGACGTTCTTCATCCACCGATTCTTAGCAACGGCCGATATTGTGGCTCGCTTCGCTGGGTCTGGATTCAACATGATGAGGAGGATTCGCCGTAAAGCTGGAGGGTTGACATGTTGATCAAAGAACGTCACGTATGGGTAGTCGGATTCGGTGATGGTAAGGGCTTCCTCGGTGTGCTTGGCATCCCATTTAGCCCACCCTCGAACCAGATCGTCGTACAGCGGCGAACTTCCTGGCTTAGCTTCGTTCCACAAGACGCCATTCGCGGACATGCAGAGCATGACGATGGCCGCACCCCAGACATCAAGAGGCCGAGGATCGTAGTCGTCTGTTGGATTTATCAGTGTTTGAGAGCAGTTCACTCGAAGTATCAGAGCCTACCCTTCTTTGCAACCACCTCCGGAGCGACATAGGGGGGGCTACCACACATGCCTGGAGCACAGAGCCTAACAGCGCCCATGTCCTTTCCACACTGGCCCCCTGCTGATCTCAGTCCTGGGTGGATACCTGCAAAGACCTCAGAGACTCCAAAGTCGGTGATCTTGAGCGTACTGTCCTTGGTAAGCAGGAGGTTCTCTAGTTTGACGTCTCGATGCGCAATTCCGTTTTTGTGGAGGTAGTTCAGGCCCTGAACAAGCTGCTTGAACAGGCAGAGTCGATCAACCAGACGATCCTCTTTGGAGAGATATTTCTGGCTAACGAGACCGAAGAGATCACCCTGATCGCAGAACTCCATCACGTGGTTCCATCGTCCATTATGGGTACATAGGCGGATTGACTCGACAATGTTTGGGTGGTGAGCACTCTTGGCAATCGAAAATTCCGATTTCACCTTCTGTTCGTAGTCCTCGCTCTTCTCGTTTCTCGACTTCCCACGGAATTCCTTGACTGCGTATGTTTCAGGTGAACCACCCCCCTTTCTGTTCATTAGCTTGACGTGGGCAGTAGCACCCTTCCCAATAGTCCTTCCACGACGCCCAACTATCTTGCTTTGGTCACAGAACTCTGAGTATAGCTCAACCTCGTCCACCATGAAGGTGTCGGGCAGACTCATGCTCAATCTTCGCGACTTGAGTCCAGTCCCAGTATCGGCTGCCATTCCCCAGACCTGCCTCGATGGAAGTCGGACTTGCGAATTCTCATTTTGCGGTTCAGCCTGCGGCACACCTGCGGATTCCATACTCGAAGAGCGATGGCGCTGTAAACCGGGTCTGGGCGGTTTCTCGTGCAGCTGGAACGCGGTTCTGTGTATGCTGAGCCGATCCCGGATGCCAAGACCAGTCGAAGACTTGTTGTTTTTCCTACTGTGGGCATAAGAAGATCGTGGAGAAACAACCTCGGCCGATGTCTTCTCCTGCATGACTGGGGATCCCGGGATTGGTGGGGTATTTGCCTGGCTAGTATATGCAGAACTTGAGGCAGAAGTTCTTCTGCTAATGCGACGGTGCTCCTTTGGCAAAGTTACATCAGGGCCATAATTGCTTGACAGTTCGTCCAGTTGGCTGGCGAAATTTGTATTCGTATGAGCTGTAGGATGCGAAGATACCGAACGCGAGTGTGTCCTCTTGAACAGTCCCGACAGGCCTCGCTTGGTAGTTGAAGGTCTGTCTGACGGTGCTGATTTCTTCGATACAGGAGTTGTAGGCGAGTGCGCTTCGAAAGTCGATGCTCTCTTCTGTTCTGGCACCACATTTTCCAGTATCGTAGACGGGTTTGGTATCGAAGCAGCCTTTTGCACGCTTGTTACGCCGTTCATCTCTCCTAGGAAAGGAAGCTCGAGTTGGTGCTGACTTTCTAAAGGCATCTTGGGTTTAAAGACGGCGTCGCTGCCCGCCTCTTCCTCCTTTTCTCCCTCTTTCTCTTCCTCCTCGAGAATCGGAGGACTTCTGGGGTCAAGAATAGGAATGTTGAAGGATGTATCGTGACTTGACGGTGACGGTAACTGTGATCGGTGGCTATCTAGCTGCAGCATAAGGGGCATTTTGCGTTCGGATTCGTATGAGGGAGTTTTAGAATGTAAAGAGAGAAGGGGTTGATTTCACCATGGTCGTCGCTATGTCGAGGGCGTGCGTACGGGTAAGGTGGTGTTTATGGTGAGGTGAGGTAGGTGAGGTGAGGTGGAGTGGAGTGGAGTGGAGTGGAGGTCTTAGGTGTGATGTGATCAATCGAGGGAAGATTGAATGCGCCACAGGCAGAATTGACAGAAATACATGGCTCCGACTTTTGTGCGAAGTCGAGTTGTCGGATCTGGACTTAGCTGGTATCTAATAAGTATGGTCTGCACTACAGAACATAGGATGACGCCAGAAGTGGCTATCGAGACGGGGAACGGGGAAATGAAGGACCGAGAACAGGAAGAAACAAGATAGGAGCTACCTAGAGGTAGACTTTGATGAAGAGTAATACTGTAGAACTACATAGCTATACATTATCGTTATATATGTTATCCTAGCTAATCTTTATTTGCAGGTAATACAAAGTAGCCAAGAGCGTAGAAGACACCAAGAGCGAATAGAAGAAGAAGGTTGGTCGATCATCCCGTCCCTTGGTTAAGCGTGGCATCGACTACATGTCTAATGTAAGGTACAGACAAGTATATCATTACCTATATCAAAGCGTTTGGCAGACATACCGGTACCATTCCAAAGACTTGATGCCAAGCAAGCTTTTGGATCTGACTGACTTCTACCGGTATTCGATCTACTCGTTAGTATACCTCAACAGACTACTATCTTTGAGAAAAAAATAGCAAACAATGCTGCTCTACCCTGACCACTTGGTCGAATGGAAATCTCATGCTAAGGACCGCCTCGTCACTTATCAATATGTCAAGCATCATGCGCTCCCTGAGGCTCTCCTTGCGGCATTTATGCCAGCTGCATCCTCCACATGCCAAACTCTCATCATACTACAGAGGCACCGTTCGTACTCTTTATTCTCCTGACATCGGCAGCCGGCCAGCCGGCCTCATGCAACAACTGGGTTTCTGCAACCCCTTTCTTCATGCAGAAAGCAGATTCAAATTCCAATCATGAAGTTCAACACTTGCGCGAGACGCCAATCAATTGAGGGGGTGATTTTTAAGTTCCAGGGCTATTCGTTACTGAAACTCCGTATGATTCGTTGTCATAGGTACCGGTAGTACTCCCGACTTTTACCAACCATGAACCTGATCAGGTGCTACTTGGTCAGGTGAGCTTGGAGTCCGACGGCGGTTAGTAGCGCCAACGCCGGCGCCACCCGGAGTCAATCCGGGCCGGGCCACCAATTAGCGCCAATCAATATATCATTTCACCCACCTCCCAAATTATCGATATCGATATCGATATCGAGACGGCTCTGCGTCTTGGTCCTCGTTTCGGAATATTCGTATGTATCCTTCCCAGTGACCCCAGAATGGCATCTGATCGGTCGTTACCGATTTCACTGTTGAGTATACGGAGTTGCCAGATCGTGAGACCGATGGTCTGCATCTAGAATTAGCACCCTTCGGCCTCGAGATGTCTACGAATATGAGCCTGATGGCCACCATCCCATCCATCTAGGAGATACATATGGCAGAAATGGCCGGTATCGTGTCATCCACAAGCTTGGCAGTGGTGGCTTCGCAACCGTTTGGCTCTGCTGAGACAGCGAGGCGGAAGAGGCGATAAAGTATGTGGCTCTAAAGGTTCTGATGCCGAAGTATCTAGCGATAATTGTCCAGAACTCAGGGTCAACCAGATCCGAGAGTCTCTAGAGCAGAATGCTGATGAATGCAGCGGTGCGGGGTTCATTTGCCTCCCACTGGACCACTTTAAGATCCACGGACCAAATGGGGCACATTTTCCCTTCGTGTAGCCTGTTCTTGGACCAAATGTCTCTTGGTTTCTTTCATGCTTCAGGAGATGCGGACCAGGACTTAAGAGCTCTGGGGCTACAGGTCACGAAGGCTATCACATTTCTTTACCGCAGAGGGATATGCCATGGTGGTAAGTATTACGGCTCCTGCCAGAAAAACCCGTTTGTGCTGATAAACACCAGACCTCACACCGAATAATGTACTCCATCAAATTTTCAGGGCTTGACGGCCTCAATGAGATCAAGTATTGTCGATTCTGGGCCGTCCAGTCGTCAATCCTGTCCTCGACGCATCTCACGAGCAGTATCATGGGGATTCGGCCCCTGACTACCTTGTATATCCAGTGAAGTGGAGCGAAGTCGATACGCACTTTACAAGCATTTAGTCGTGTCTTATGGATTTTGGGGAGTCTTTCGAAGTACCACAGTCGCCGGATGATCTTGGGATTCCTGGGCCTTATCGTTCCCCAGAGCTGATTCTGGACAGAAAAGCTTCACTACCTTCAGATATATGGGGATTGGGATGCACCATTTTCGAGACCAGAACAGGTAGAACGCTCTTTTGCCCATTTGACGATGACGACGAGTATTTGTTCGCCTTTGTCCATCTTTTGAGTAGACTTCCTGAGCCATGGTGGTCTGACACTTGGAAAGATCGAAGCACTATGTATGATGACAAAAATCGACGAGAATGGCATGGCTATTCCTGTTACCATGTCGATACCTAAACCGGTGAATGACGAAAAGAATAAGTGGACAAGCACTGTGCATCCATCTTTTGCCGTAAACGCTCGATCGCTGGCTAAGATTGCGCCTGGGTTTTTGGTACATGTCGGACTATGGTCCCGGAACGGATCGCCACCGAGATATTCCAGAGACAGAGCAGAAAGTCTTAGCTGATCTGCTAAGGCGATTGCTGAAGTACAAGCCGGAAGATAGGGTACCCGTATCTGCAAAGGAAGCGATGGAGCATGAGTGGTTTAAACTTTGATAATAAGTACGTATTTCGAATCTTTACCCAACTCTCTTGTGGCGCCAACTTTGTCTTCGTGGGGTGTACGCTGGTAATCTGTAAATCTCGCTGGCCTTTTGGCCACGAGATCCTGCCACACCTGCTGCCTCGCCTCTTTGCGGGTCAGCTCGATGATATTCGTGCTGGACCAAGCGAGCAGGGGGTACTTGGGAAATGGGTAAAAGGATGAATAGAGTTGGGAGCGAAGATCGTCGCTTTCTTCGAGCTATTCGAAAGGACTTCTAAAGATCCTATATCAAGAATTCTACTACGATTTCTTCAGTCCTCTTCGGCCTTCAAGCGTACGCCCTGGTGGTCTACGCTATGTTTGGTTAAGATAACTCAGAACATTCGCTCAGCCTCCGAGACCACTTGCGCGATATCACTCGGTGAAGAATTGTTGGCTTAACTCAGTTGTTACGCAAAGTCGCGATCGTTAACTCGGCTTCTATAGCACTGACTCCACAATTCTCTTTCACTTGCCCCACCGTACTCCACCCTTCCCACCTCTTCGCTTCATCCCTCCCCTCATTGTTGACTCCCAGGATTCGCTTCCATCGCCGTCCAACCCTTTTTCCACTTTTTCCACTCCAATCCTTAGCCCTCTCTTCAGCTGTTGCTATCGCTTGCTATCGTCAAGGACCTATCAACCAGACAGACCTCTCCGCGCTAGCTGGGCCTCTCCTGTCTCCGGCGCCTATCTCCTATGCTCATTTCTCTTTGCTAGCCACCGCTCCCACGGATCGAGCGCACGATCCAACTTTCTACTTTTCCCATCAGCGCGAAAAGAAAAAAAAAAAGGAAAAAAAATGGGGGGAATAAATATTATTGTTATTTAAATTAAAGGGGGGGGTCTTTTTCTCCGCGGGGGAAGGGCCGAAAAGAGTTGGGTGGAGGAGGTAGGGGGTTTTTTTTTTTTTTTTTTTTTTTTAAAAGGACTTACCCTAGCGGACGGATGATGAGGAAGATGCCCAGGTCGTCGAGGAAGTTGAGGAACTCGATGTTTTGGAGGAGGTGGTGCATGGGTTGGAAGAGTAGGTAGATGCCGATGTCGTCGATGAGGTTGAGTAGGTATCGCAGGGGCATGTAGTGAAAAAGGGAGGGGGGCTTGGGAAAGGGAGGGGGGGAGAGGAGAGGAGAAGGATACGGTTGAGTGAATGAATGAATGGATGGATGGATGAATGAATGTATAAATGAATGAATGAATGAAAAATGGGGATCTTTATGTTAAATGGGTTGTGTTATTAGAGTCTTGTTCTTGGGGTGGGTGATGATGATGCTGCTGCGGCGGCGGTCTCCTTTTAGTAGGAGGAGGCCGCCGCTGCCCCTTTTGCGTTTTCCTTTCCATGGAGCATTGTCTTGTGAGAGGGAGCAGACGTGGCTGACGATGCCCGATCGTTATCTTAAGGTATGAATGAATGTGGCCGTCGAGAATACGGCCTTTGTTTGTTGTTACTTGTTGAGAGGCACCACGTCTCTCCCACGGCCAACAACCGGCTCCACTCTACTCCGCGTGGCCAGCAGCAGACTCTTTCTCTATAGTAAGTGACATGGAGCCTTGATGCGACGGTGTGCACGGAGGGTTGGTATATACAGTATTAGTTGACAAACAGACATGTGTCCAAAGCAAAACGGTGTTCATGATAATTATTCGGATGGTTAGTACATTTACTAGCTTAGCTTCCACGACGACGACGACGACGACGATGACGACGACAATACATCAATATCTCCACCGTCATACATACAATGTATAAGTACCGGTAATCACATGTATTGTATGTATATGTTTGCAGACGGGTGCTTTTGAAGACGAGAGGAGTGGAGGGTGTTGTCGGGTCTTGTTCAACTGGATATAGGTATAACAGGTATAAGGATAAGGATTCTCAATCGGCGTCGCATTTGATAGTCTTAAGAATTGCTATCATTTAAGATGAACCTAGCTTCTAATGAATACTTACCTATAGCTATACTGATGACCCTATGTATCTACCTAGCTTCCGGACTAGGTGCGAAGCTGGACGACGTGACGTTAGACAACGTCGATCCACACGTTCTAAGTATATATACTCGACATTATATTAAATTTCTTACGTCAACCCGACACGTGATCCAGCTGGCACGTGTAATCCGTGAGCTCCTAGCTCCATTTTGTAGTCAGGCCCTACAGATACAAATGTCTCCCTTCCCTCTGTTCCTCCCCCTCCTTCAGTTCGATCCTTTCCTCCCTCCCATCTCCCTCTCCATTCCTTCCCATCTTCCCACCAACCCACCAAGCAAATGTCCAGCTTCCCCCCCTTGGATTCAATAATCGACGGAGCCACGCTTCGCAGCTTCCTTCAACAATGTGTGTTCCACAACTCCTTTATAATGCCCCCCCCAAGCACCCCAGCCTTTCTCCACAACTTTTACAACTTCGACAATAGCAACAATAACAGCAGCAGCAGTAGCAGCAGCAGCATCACCAGCAGCAGCAGCAGCAGCATTAGCAGAAACATTAGCAGAAGCAGTAGCATCAGCAGCGTGATGTCGAATGACGAGGAACGCGCTTCACTCCTGGCTCGGATCGCCGCCTTGGAGGCGCGAATGAACCAGATGGAGAGCAGAACCACCATTATCATTACCCATGCACCACACGGAGCGCCCTCCATTGTCATCCATCCTTCGAACGCAGCGTCAATCTCAATCTCAAGCTCAGCCTCAACCATCCGTATTCCCCCAGAGTTGAGCTCTTCCGAATTCGGCATCCCGTCTCCCGCCTCCGCCCACCAACCCGAAAGAATGAACGACAGCCCGGCCGAAGGCGTCCCCCTCATCCAACAACAGTTGGAAAAATTCATAATCGTCGTCGCGGGGCTGGTAGCCCATATGCTCGCGCCGCATTTCAACGCCGCAGGAACAGGCATTAACAACCAGACCAGGAGCCAACTGGCGAGAGAGGAGAATGAGAGAGATACTATGGAAGAAGCCACTCAGGCAGAGAATCGGAGGTTGACAATGCATGCTGGCCACACACCAAATCACTCCATCTCCAAATTCCATCTTAGTAAGGGGTATGCGGACAGCGGATCTGTCACACCTACTCAGGAGCACCATGATGAAAACAAGAGGATGTTGGCTCCTCCGGCCCACGGTGAGGAGGAACAGCATAGCGAGGATGATCATGGGGACAGCGAACTGTCTCACCCCCTCGGCTTGACGAACGATGCTGCCGCGGATCATGAGTTTCTAGCGGAGCTGGACGAGAAGCTGCGATTGGCCAAAACAATCGCGGATGCCGGTCCCAGCAATGAGCCAGAGTCAAGCCCGAGTCCTCTCTCATCACCATGGGACATCGAGGATGATGGAGACGAACCTCACAAGCTAAGGTTGAAGCCCAGTTGCAACTTTGGGAAACCCTTGGGCGAGATTTGAGTAGATTTGAGTTTCCTTGTCTGGATCCATCATTGTACTTCCCTTCTTCTTTTCTTCTCGCGTGAAATTTCTCTTGTACCGCGATGGAAAACAGTACATCATTTTCTACCAGCCCCCTTGGAAGATTTACGACGGAAGCGGGAAAAAGTTAGTTTACTTTGTTACTGGTAGTACATTAATATTCCATATTCTTCTTGCGACGACCAGGGGAAGTCACATTTCATCGGCTAGCGGACGCCCTCCCTGGTGTAACACGCGAAGCACTCATGGGGATCGTGGTCGTCTGAGTTGGGCTTGGTTAGCTTTGACAAGGATAGCACACAAGGCAGAGGGCAGAGGGTTGTACTTTATTCAGCGTGGCGGGATAGCGAGCGAGCCGGACAAAAGCACAAGATATGTTTCACCGCGGGAGCGCAGAATAGACATCAATTGGAAAGAAACATTCCTTGACCCCAACCTCGCATGGCTCTTGACTCTCATGCTCCTCTATTACTTCTGGTGGGGGATAACAGTCACGATGCGTGGATTGAAAAGTTGCACGCTGAATTACGGAAATGGGCTCGAAGGTCCAGCTTCGTCGCGATAATCCCTTGCCAAGTAACTTTTTATGTATACACTGCTATTACGATTGGGTATTAGAGCGCCATCCCAGCGCCCGAGAGTAGTAGATAGAGAGAGAGAGAGACCGCCGATAGTAAATCGGCTTTTAACCAGTAACGCCGGTCGCTCTCTCTCTCTCTCTCTCTCTCTGTCTCTCTCTCTTATTCTCTCTCTCTCTCTCTCTCTATATCTCTCTCT